TAAATATTCTTGCACATTTCATAGATCATTACCATTGCAATACTTAGAATGATGGTTGATAATCCTGGAAACTAAACTTCACTTAATCTGTATGAAATAATTCTAAAGTTGACAATGGTTGTTTCTTAAATTGTCTCAAGTAGAATTTATCTAATATTGTGTAAGACATCTTTATGTTAACCAACTTAAGTGATCGGCACAATAGCTATTGAGGTTGACCGTCTTTCAATTTCAGAGAATGATGATTTGGTTCTTGTTTGAAACAGAATACAATCATCTGAACTCACCATCTATTCTCTAACCCTTTTCCTGCTACTCTTTAGTAGTCATTCTTTCATTAAGCCACCCTTTTATGTATCGCTATTATTTTAATAAGCTTCACTTCTTGGCAATTACTAAAATTTTAATAAAACCTAAATATATGAAAGTGAATTTATGCATTTCTTTTCCTTGAGAATTGACAGTGAAAATAATAAACACTATTTATTTATTAGATTGTTTATTTACAGTATTATATTGTTTTTTTGGAATGGTTGGCAAAACATCAGCTAATTGCTAATTGATTTGAACCTTATAAAATGGTAAATAAGGATTTCATTATAGTTTGCATATTTTAATAATTTAGCAAATGTTTATAAATTTATGAATAAAAAAAATGGTCATTTATTTCTTTGTAAACTGGTAAATGATAAATATTGCATTAAATTAGCTTTAATACAATTGTATTAGTTTTTAGAATTTTGTAAATAAAAAAAAATAGTGTTTCAATATTTTGTAAATTCTCAAAAATGTATAAATTGCATCATGTTTTGGTTTTATTAAAATTGTAATTACTTTTTAAACAAACTTTGTCAAGTAGTGAAGATAGGTTTTTCCCTTAACACTGCTATTATTTTTAACTGTCTTTTTGATACTTCATTTTTTTTTTGTGGCCATGAAAGTTAAATATTATCAAACTTTCATTATTTTCATTGATTCTTCATCTTTAACATCACTATGAAGAGAATTGTATTAGATTATATGTATTCATAATCAAAAAATATTCAATATGGTTTAAAATAAATGACTAAAGAATATAAGTTTAGTTTCATTTTAAGTTTGATTAGGCCTTAAAGTCCCAAAACAAACGAAAATGTTCTCAAAATTTTTCCTAACCCTTGTCATAGTTGCATAAGAGAATTTGCATTTATTTAAGACAATCTATAACATATACTCATTGTGAAAGGATGAATTTGACTCTGTTGGTCATTGATATTAAGCTTTAGTTTAATATAGATCCAAGCCGAATGAAATTGAAAGTGGAGATTGTCGTCTTGCCTAACTGATCAACATGTGGATTTCTTGCTTTTCTTATATTGAATATACAGTGGAGAATATATAACTCTAAACTACAAAACATGCCCTATAGGGATTATTTACTAAGTCTGGCACAAGGATATGGGACAGAGGTAATCAAACATTTTAATATAAAAGCCACATATGGCATTGGGGAAATTAACTGTTTCTTTACAGGTGTCATCCTATGGACAACCACAAAAGGGAAATGCAGTTTTATTTCAATCTGAAGTGTTTGTTTAATAGCCATCAGGAGGTTCTTTTTGAAGTTTTCTAAGTAGTATCCATTCTGACCAAAAGGGAACATTGAAGTAAAGAAGTGGATGAAGAGTTTTTGGAGATCAAGTGACAAAGCTGGAAAAGGGCCATATCTGGGTCTTTCCTTTTTATGTGCCATGTCCTTTCAGGATGCAGGTGATCATGGCCCTCCACTTCCTCCTATTCCTTGTGGCTCTCAACAGGTTTTGTTTTGTGCTTCTGCCAACTCCCCCAGACCACGCTCCACTGTCCACCTGCCCAAGCCTGCCACGTATGTCATGCGCTGCTTTCCCCTCTATTCATCCTGTGAGTATCAGATTCTCCAGGCCCTCCTTTCGCATTACGTGTCCCAGAAATTTCATCTGCCTCTTCCTTATATTAAACATAAGCTTCCTCCTTGTTTGCATCCTCTCCAAGACCTCATCATTCCTCACATGCTCTGTCCATGATATCCTCAGCATCCTTCTGTAGAACCACATCTCTGTCACCGTCCCTTCTTCATCTTTGAGGATACCGTCCAACATTTGTTGCTGTATAGGAAGACAGAGGTCATGTAGAAGCTCAGTACTCTTTTCTTTGTCGTCATAGAAATCCTCTGTTTCACAGTACTCTGCCCAGCTTTTGGAATACATCTTTGGCCATCCCCATCTGTCTTCAGATCTTAGCATTGAACCTACTATCCGATGTCAGAACACTTCCCAGATACATAAACTTCCGCACATGTTTGATTTTAGTGTTCCAGACCTGCAAATCATATTTTGGGCTCATGCTTTTACTGAAGACCATGTATTCTATCTTCTAATAGTTTATAGTTAGTCCTTTCTTCTTGCTCTCCCTTACTACCTTCTGTAGGAGGTTTTGTAGTTTCTTTTCCATGTCTGCTATCAGTGCTGTGTCATCTGCATATCTTTTATTAGTAAGGTCGTGGCTCCCAATGATGAATCCTGATAGGATCAGTTCCCTCAGGATTGCCTCACTGTATAGGTTGAATAAATTCAATGAGAAGACACATCCTTGCTTTATGCCTCTTTCTATTTTTGTATATTTTCTGAACTCATTCTCAATGTGCATGCATGCTGTTTGCTGCCAGTATAGATTCTTGATTATTCTGATATCTTTCCCAAATATATCAAGGTTGCTGAGCAATTCTAGCAGCTCCTTGTGGCATACTTTGCCGAATGCCTTTGCATAGTCCATAAAACATAGATACACCTCCTTACTGGTCTATATTAAGTCATGTTCAGGATTGAAATGAGTTCTGGTCCACTCTTGGTGGTAGACAAACTTGTCAATCACATGGTTCTGATGCCATTCATTTGTATTGCCAGCTACCATGTTGGGGGTGAGGAGTTGGTATGGAAATGAGATTCACATCGCAGATAGTATCACCTGTCTACTTATCCAAGTGATCAGGTGAAACTCTGAATAAAACCAGTTAAAAATAAAAAATTAAAATTATTTTTTTTTAAAAATGGGAAACTGGGTTTGCATTCTTTTTTTTCATGTGTTGGGGTTTATCCTTTCATCTTGTGAGCATGCAGCGGGGCCTTGCCCAGTTTTTGGTGCAAATCAACATGATCAAGAATCAAAATGCAATGTGAGGTAGCCTATGGCCAACTGATGGAAAGCTTGAGTGGGAGTCACATTGTATATATTTGACATACAGTGACTAATTAGTTGAATTTTATTGAATTTTATTAAATTTTATTAAATTATCTTTAAAACAGTTTTTCAGAAAATTAAGCTTCACTGTTATCACCCTTTCTAGCAGTGATGAGTTTCCTTTCATACATTTTTTTCTCGATTATATCAAAAGTTAACAGCTTGATTAGATAATTATTTTCTCTTTTAGTTTTTTTTTTTTTTTCTCCAGTTATTTGTTGAAACTCAGTGGTTTTGTTGTACTAGTCCAAACTTCATTCTTCTGTAATCTATACTGACCTTAGTCCTGGGTATGATGATAAACTACATCTGGCAGCAAGGTCTCTCACAAAGTGATTGGAGATTGAGCAACATCGAACCACCTCTTTAATTGTTGTTGTTCTTAGGTCCACCCTGACCCAGGGTGGTAGCACCTGTTAGGGTCCCAGCTATGGACAAATAGTGAAACCCCAAACAAAAAGAAAACACTATGAAAGTTTAAAAATACATTTTTTTAGTAAACTGTTAGCATAGGAATTACAGCTACATCTAACAAGTTCAACTGTCAATTGATGAGATCTCAATGCCAGTCTAGTACTGTATTTAAATTCAAAGAGTCTAGGTATCATAATGAAGGGCTCATCTGAACAATTACCATGAAAGTATTTATAGAAACGGCAGAGAGAAACAACCTTACAGTGGTGAGAAAGTGACTGAAGCCAAACCACCAGATCAGAACCAATAATATTACTGATTCTTCTTTGGATCTTATCGAGGAGTACTAGGTAAATAGCAGGGGTACCAGACCATATGTGACAGTAATATTCTAAGCATGATTGAATGGTAGACTTAGAGATGTAAGATAGATTCAGAGGAGAAAAAATGTCTTATACAACACAGCGAATCAACTTTCTTAGCAGCTGTATTCAATATACTCTCTGCATTTTTTGTGCGCTGAGAATGTTAGCCCGAGAAGGCACAATAATCACTTTCTTGGAGGTTGTTTTAGACATTGGCTGTCATCTATCTAGGCAGGAGTAAATAGTTATGTCCTCAGCATAGATGCCAAGTTGAGAGCTGATGTCATCAGGAAGGTCGTTAATGAAAATTAATAACAGCGTAGGACCAACGATGGAGCCCTGGGGGAGACCAACGTTAGTACAAGTGGCCATTAAGGATAACTTTCATTTCACAATTTGATAGGAAAGACTGGATCAGTTCAAAAATGTGTCCGGAGACACAGTAACTTTTCAGCTTGTGGAGAAGACCTGTATGCCAGATCCGACTTAGCATTAAAATTAAGATTTAAATTCTTTTTTCTTTTATTTTTTTCTTTTTTTTTTTTCTTTATTTTATTTTTTTTCTTTTTTTCTTTATTTTATTTTTTTTCTTTTTGTTTTTATTTTTTTTTCTTTTTGTTTTTCTTTTTTTTTCTTTTTTATTTTTTTAATTTTTTATTTTTTTTATTTTTTTCTTTCTTTTTTTCCTTTCTTTTTTCCTTTTTTTCTTTTTTTTTCTCTTTTTTTTGCTTTTTTCTTCTTTTTTTACTTTTTTTTTTTTTTTTTTACTAAGTATGAGTATTAAGCTTACATTTTAATCCAATGTGGTAAAAAGTTATGCCAAGTAAATAGAAAGTTTTAATTCTCCCCCCACTTATTCACCTTTTAATATTATTAATTGATGGGGAAATATCTCTGTCAACACATTCCCATAAAGAGTCAAAACTGCAGTTTGCCTTTTTCTGTTATAGAGTATCATGGGTCAAAATGACATCAGTAATAATGTCTTTTAGCCATTACTTTATGGTAAGGTGACTTGATAGTTTTGATTTACTAAGCTTTAGTTTGGCAAAAGACTTATAATTTGTTAAAGACTGATTACTCTTGTTATTCTCATTTTCTTCTTCTTTCCCATTTTTCCTCTTTCTTCTTCTTTCCCATTTTTCCTCTTTCTTCTTCTCCACTTTCTTCTTTCTTCTTCTTCTCCACTTTCTTCTTTCTTCTTCTTCTCCACTTTCTTCTTCTTCTCCTCTTTCTTCTTCTTCTCCTCTTTCTTCTTCTTCTCCTCTTTCCTCTTTCTTATCCTCTTTCCTCTTTCTTATCCTCTTTCTTCTTCTTCTTCTTTCTCCTCTTTCTTCTTTCTCCTCTTTTTTCTTCTTCTTCTTCTTCTTTCTCCTTCTTTCTCCTCCTTCTTCTTTCTCCTCCTTCTTCTTTCTCCTCCTCCTTCTTTCTCCTCCTCCTTCTTTCTCCTCCTCCTTCTTTCTCCTCCTCCTTCTTCTTCTTCTTCTTCTTCTTTCTCCTCCTCCTTCTTCTTTCTCCTCCTCCTTCTTCTTTTCTTCTTCTTTCCTCCTTCTTCTTCTTCTTTCTCCTCCTCCTTCTTCTTCTTCCTTCTTTTCTCCTCCTCCTCCTTCTTCTTCTTCTTTTCTCCTCCTCCTTCTTCTTCTTCTTCTTTCTCCTCCTCTTTCTTCTTCTTCTTCTTTCTCCTCCTCTTTCTTCTTCTTCTTCTTTCTCCTCTTTCTTCTTCTTCTTCTTTCTCCTTCTTCTTCTTTCTCTTCCTCCTCTTTTCTTCTTCTTCTTTCTCCTCCTCCTTCTTCTTCTTTTTCTCCTCCTCCTTCTTCTTCTTCTTCTTTCTCCTCCTCCTTCTTCTTCTTCTTCTTTCTCCTCCTCCTTCTTCTTCTTCTTCTTTCTCCTCCTCCTTCTTCATTCTCATTCTTCTTAAAATATTTGTAGCCTGCATCACAATCTTTCTAGCCACTGATCTGTGGATTGAAGTATTATCTGAATAAATGATTTCTACTTTATGATCACTTCAAAGCAAAAAAAATATTTTAACTTTTATGGACTCTGCGTATGAGGGCTGCTCAAAAAGTATTTGGACTGGTTCTATAAAAAAAAAAAAAAACTTTAGCACATATCATTTCATCATTTAATCTCTTTTCTAGTAGTTCCCTTCTGATGCCACTCTCTTTTTCTTTTTACTTCTTGGCATTATTTCCTTGACAAAATCTCTTTCAAATATGGCTGCTCTTCTGAAAATAAGCCTTGCTACACATGTGAATTGATCTAAGATACACTACAGACACACTTTATTCAGGTCTGCTTTGTCTGACACAAGGCTACAGTGATAAGGACTTCACTTTTTGAACAAGTAAATCGGCCTGCAAGATGAACTTACTAACCATAACTCTGTAGTAGATGCTTCATGAACCTACATCTGTTAGAATCTTCTGAAATCAATATAATTCTTGCATGTTATGCAAGAATTATCATAGAAAAATCCATATCTATCAATGTCAACTAGGCTTGCTCTCTCTATGTAGCTTTATTTTTTTGTTTATGGAGCAGTTCCCTTGGGATTCGGCATGGCAGATATTGACATGCCAAATGCATGTAAGCTTTTTTTTTTTTTTTTTTTTTTTTTTTTTAAGATATATCTGAATACATTGCAAATCTGGTATTTACTTCTTTTGTAATTGATATGCAGCAGATGGTTTGTTTATACAACTCTTCTTTATTGTCACTTTTTCTTTTAAATATGGCTGCCATCAAGATTTAGATGTCTTTAGAAAAAGATGAATTCAATATAATATCTACTCTGGTAAGCTATCTCTATTTTTTGTTGCTTAGAAAAATACTGTATAACAGAATAGACTTCCTAATGAGAATGTCTTTTAAATGCTTTAAGGCATTTTCTGAGGAAAGGGTAACACATTTTCAATATGATTCTGTAAGTAAACTTGTATTGTGTTCTGTTGAATATTACATTCTTGTACAAAGCAATATGTAGTGGTGCTGTAAGAATTGTTGGCTAGGGTCACCATGAATATAATCAAGAAGGAATGCTGTGTTCTTGTAAAACAACACCCCACATGAATCATGCACAACATACATGAGAGAAAAATAATCAAGCTCAGTGAACATTAATAAAATATTGTATTAACAATGATATTGTTGGGGCGCACCCACCTTCTAACTAGTAATGGACTGGTCCCTCTTATATAAGTCAGCTCTGGAGAGAGAGTGAGAGAGCAGTCCAGATAAGCTTACCCGGTACATACCGTTGGACTATAGACTTTGGATATTGTTTCGTACTAACCAACCTTCGTTCTACTAATCACTCTATTGTTAATTGCTTTTATGAATATACCAGTATTTTCCTCTACAACTGTGTTTGTCTTGATTCATACACCGACACACGGGAAACTCACAACATCTCAACAGATATACAAATATCAACAATAGTATAAAGAAAGTTGCTTCCCTTTTTCCGCAATAAAAAGGGTAAGTTTAGCTAATTAATGTTGAGTACAATGTTGAATGTTATTTAACTACAAAGTTCAATTGAAGTCTTATCTAAATAAAGAATAATTCCACAGTGTTTTACCAGTGTAGAAAGATGTAATGTTCATGAGTGATATCAATAGGAATTAGTATGATTACTTGAATGAGTAATAATTAAGAATTAAAATGTCACAAGAAATATGCACCGTGCCATATTTTTCAAGAATTGAACTGCTACTAACTGTTGGCTAACAGCGAGAGGGTTTTTATAGTTACGCATAGGCTCCAGTGAGCTTGGCGCCAAAAATATAGAAAGATACTAAAATACGCGATTGGTCAGGAAATGGACCAATTCGTGATTTTAGAGAAAAATTCAAATGATGTGTGATGGCAAAATTGTCATATAATAAGTATCATATATTTATGAACCAATGACATTAAAGAAAGCTGAGGTGTGGCACATGTAAGTGATCACCACAAATATCATGTAACTTCAATAGATTAAAAATCTGATATCTAAATATTTTTTATGTATTTCTAGTCAGTTCTTACTTTCATGACTAGAAAAATATCTTATAAATAGTTGAGAAAGTTTTTTTTTTTCTTTTTTTTAACATTTCACCCTAAGTAAGATGATAATGCCAGTAAGACACAAGGTGTTACTAGGAGTGAAAAAAAATTTAAAAAGTAAACTTTAGTGAAGAGAAAGGACAAAAGAAGAGAATTCAGGAAGACAAAAGATTGTGATTGATGTTTCATTTACATTTTTGAAGATTGGAGGTGGCAAGGAAACAAGAAACTGGAATAGTTCCTGTAGTGAAAGTAATCTGCGACAAATTTGCTTTGAGAACGCTTACACTTACAAGCTATTTTAGCCTTTGTACTGATAAATCATGTTGGCTGGCGCAGTTGAGGGCGATACATTATTGTCTCTCAACTGCGCCAGCCAACATGTCTCTCGGAGTAACATTGTACCAATACACTGCCTCCATAATGCGTACGCCGCCCAGCTCCTTAATAATGTCCATGTCTTCGTCCTTTGGTCGAACTCTGCGCTAAAGTCGGGCTCGTTGATCTTCAAAGTAGCACAGATGGGCGGATCAGAAAACTTGACTTCGCCCACCTCTGGGCCAGCCAACATGATTTATCAGTACAAAGGCTGAAATAGCTTGTAAGTATAAGCGTTCTCAAAGCAAATTTGTCACAGATTACTTTCACTACACTTCCACATGTGACAAAAGAAACTATTAGAATCGAACATATGATTGCATCTAGCTAGTTCAACAGTAAAATGGAAGACCTATTTGCCAATCTAGGAGTATGCTTAAATTCACGTAGTTGGGACACCAAAGAGGAAAGTTCATGAGAGCAATTACCATTTAAATACTTTTAGAAAAGACAGGAAATTCATGTCACTCCAGTGAGAAAGTGACTGAAATTAAGATGCCAGGTTTAGATCAATTACATTGCAGACCCCTCTAGGAATTTTGTCAAGAATCTTGAGATATAAAGTAGGATCAGTTTGGAAATCATTTTCACAATAATTGATCCGTCTAGTGAAAAGTAAATACATTCTTTAATGTGCTGTGTTGCTTCAGGACATTGATCTTGGCTCTCCACAATTTTTTATCCTTTGTAGCTCAAATGTTTTTCTCTTTACAAACCCTCTGTTCTGCTATCCATTTACGCAAGTGCATTAGGTATGTTACTTGCTTTTTCCTTCTGCCCTTCAATATGTACTCTGAGTATTAAATTCTCTAAGCCTTCTTCCTTCATTATGTGTCCAAGAAATTTTAACTATCTTTTTTTAATTATTGTCAATATTCTTTTTGCTTCTGTTTTTCTTAAAACTTCCCCATTGCTCACATAGTTTGTCCATGGTATTCTTAGAATACTTCTGTTGCTTCAAGTGTCAGAGAGAACTGTCTAGTATTCATGGTCATATAAGAGGACTGATATTATATAACAGTTCAGCATTATCAAGTAAAAATAGTTTTCTCACTGATAATTTGTTTTTTGGTTTTACTTGATAATAATATTCCTTTTTATCTCTTAGTATTTTTAGTATACCTCCAGAAATTGTTAATAAAAAAAAATATGCAGCAAAAGTTAGCACAATAGGCATATAGCCTTGTGCTATATTGGTTTTGTAAATTATTATTGAGTTTGATTGTGTGACCCACATTTCTACCCTTATAGAAGAGTAACTCTCTTTCACAATCTCCTATGTCAAAAACTTTGTTAAAAGTCTTTGTGATATCAAGACAATTATTCTGGTAACAAAGCATTTCACTGATTCTCAGGGTGATGTCAGTTAAATCATCTGCAGTGGACCTAGAGGAGCAAAATCCATACTGTTTGTCACTCAGGTTATTTATGAGATGATCAATTACTCTCTTGTTGATAACACTCACTTTGGTTAAAAACATTGAGACAGACAAGTGGTGTAGATGAGGGGGTGTGGTCATAGTGGTCTGCTCCAAGTGGCACTTTTGGTCCACAGTGAGTTTTCAGAAAAGAAAAAAAAAATAGCACAATTTCAATAATTTTTTCAAAAAAAAAAAAAAACAGCAATAAGGAATATAGTTTAAATCAAACCAATTTGTCTTTGATATGACTGGCTTGAAGCCAGCCAGCAATAAATAAAAAAAATAAAAATAAAAAAAAAATAAAAAAATTGTCTCCAAAACACACTGTCAGCTGGTGGGATAAACTCCACTTACAAGACACGAGCAAAAGGCATGAAAAAAAAAAATTGAAAATTTTTAAAGGGCTTGATATGGGGGTTAAATTTAGTGAATCCAGTTTTTTTCACACACCTATGTGAGAAATCCAGACTTTATCATTTTGATTTTCATGTCTGTGAATTGTTAGTGAAAAAAATTAAACAAGTGAACCAATTGTTTTTTTTTTTATCCTATAAACTTAGCTTTAATATGGATATAAAAATCATTACTTTTCATAAGTTATAAAATAGATAAAGAAATTGAAATAATTCCAATGCTTTAAGGATATCACATGCATTACAATTTTTTCCCGAAATATTCAATGGTAATTTAAAAGAAAATTGAAAATTAATATATTTTTTAAGTGCAGAAACTTCAAGATGGGGATTTTTTTAATTTTTCAATTTACAAGTTTTTATGGTAGTAAAACAATGCAATGTTTTATTTTTTTTGTTTAGATAGTTGAAGTTTTATTAAGCAAAATAGACTCAATTAAAAGTATAACATTATTTCAGTTTTTAAAAGTGAAATCAATTTTATTGGACTTTTAATTATTAGTCTATTACTTTGCTAAAAATAACTTCAACTACAGAAGACAAAGAAATTTAAAGACATTGCATTTTTTTACATTGTTAAAAGAAAAATGAACCGTGTTTCTGTTAACGTGACATTTAATTTATGACTCCTCACTTGTTAGAATTTAAATAAATATTAAAAACACTGATAATTATGAATTAAATGTGTTTTTTGTTTTTCTTTAAGTAAAATAGAGGATATATAAACAAAAACAAGTTATTTTTCTTTTAATATCGTAAAAAGTTTTTAAAGTTTTCCCAATTTAGAAAAAAGTAATGTCTTCATTTTTTTTTTTTTTTTTACATATCTCTAGTTTTATTTAGGCAAAAAAAATTAAACACAATTGTACTTTTATTTCATAATTTATCAATGAGGAGTTATAAATACCATGTTAATAGAAATATGGGGAAAAAAATTGACATCATACAGGCATTAGATTCTGAGAAATGGATAAAAATAGTAAAAATTGATTGGTGTATGAATAATTTTGTCATTGACTATAATAAATATATATATATATATATAAGTTTAAGGTGTTAATGTGCATTGTAATATTGTATCCTTTCTGGGAAGGGGTAGCAATCTTGAGGGCCACCCCAGGTAGCAAAAACACTAACTACACCACCAGAGGCAGATATAGCACTATTGTGATGTAGATGATTGCATTCTTGAAAACAACTATTTCCACAGACTTCAGGAAAGCTTTTCTCTTTCTTGTAATATTTAAACATCTTTGCTAGCGTTGGAGATAATTCTAGGCCAAGGTTCTGTGCAGATGAAATCCAATTATCTTCAAAAATGTTGAGGATGTGCACCTGCCAATGCCATTGGCTTCATGATTCTGCGAAAAACCAGGGCAGACTCATTTCAGCATTTATAACAGAAAACGATTGATTGAATACCCTGAATGTTCTGCCTACAGATTAGTGTACCTGCTTTCGAATATATATGAAGTCATTGGCAGTGAACAAGAGGTAAGAAAGAAAGCCAACTGTTGGGAGAGTGGATTTGTGATTATTTGGATCTGAATTTGTGGCAGTTTGCTTTATTTTTCACTGCAGGTTCTCAAGTACAGAATCCTACATAGAACCAGGGTTTTTGCTGAATCTAGAAACTTCCTGTGCTGAGATTTTGAGGTTCATAAATTTTGTGCTTCATGATAGGAGGTAGATCAGGTAAACAGGTACTCTAGTTGTCTAGAGTGGACAAAGTTGATTGCAAAGAGCTTAGCTTTGTCTGCTGAGGATGGAATAACCCTGGGGTTATTAATAATAGACACATTATTTGCTTCTGTTAAGAATCTTATTGTTTCTTTAGAGCTTTGTTGAAAAGTCGATATTATTGTTATGGCAGTAAAATCTAAGAGAGTAAATCTTTTTTTTTTTTTTTTTTTTTATTTCCAGCAACCATATCGCAAGTCTCAGTATTTTGATGATGGTATCCGCAAGATTGATTATGTTTTGGCGTATGAGGATGGGAAGGAGGGAAGTCATGAAGAAAATAAAAAATGGCAAAAAAGAAAACGATTTGAGGAAAGTCTTCGAAATCATGACTTACAATTGGAATATGCAAAGAAAGATGTAAGTATGTTTTTTTTTTTTATTATTTTATGATTGTCATAAGGCTATTTTATTCTCTAGAAATCTTGAATAATTAGCTTTTGTTCAGTTTTGTTACTCTTAAAATCAGTATTTGTATATTTACCCTTCCACTTTGTAATTATTAAAAATGTGTCTATGAAGCAGGCTTACAGCTAAATTATGTTGAAAGACTGGTTCGATCACCAAAGTTAAGCAACGTTAACCTTGGTGAGTACCTAGATGGATGAGCACTTGGGAATACCAGGTGCTGTAAGCTTGGATGTGTGGGTGGTGTAATGGATAATAACTTGGAATTGTTAATCACAGATTTCCAATTCCAGTTGAGTTTGTTATATTTACTTATATACCCTTAGGAATGGTATGAATCCATCACTTCTACCCCCAGCAATGGATTAATTCAGTGTTTCTTGACCTTTTTTAAGGAATGGCCTACCTATAAGTAAATGAAATTATCACAAAATGCTTATCAAAATTTTTAAAGGGTATTTCAAAAAATGATTATTAAACAAAGTATTTAAAATAACATAATCAAAGAATAGTGGAAAGATTTATTTGAAAAAAATGTTTAAAACTACTTCATTTATTCAAAGACTAATGTTGTATCATTACTACTGGAACACACACACATACATATATATATATATATATATATATATATATATATGCCATGACAATGTTTTACAGTACACTTTAAGGTACAGTACTTGAGGGTCACTGGGTTAATTAGTAAGACTTTTATCACTAAACCATTATCATTGCAGACAAAATATTTAGATATTGCAGTTAAATAACCCATAGAGATATTGATATGCCTCTAAACATGAGCAATCAAACCAATCACCAAGAAGTGGTTTTAAAAAAATAATACTGGCAATTATTACAAATATATAGTGAGTTTGATCCACACTAGGTGCCCTACATTGTGGTCTTGAGTTGTGCCACAATTAGTATAGTGACTTTGTAATTTCCCTTGTGATTTGAGTAATGAAATCCATAACTTAAAGAAAAAAAGCAAAATATATTTGTAGAGGCTGACCAAAGCTTACATGAATATAATAAAAATTTGGAAGATACAGACTTTTAGCAAAATGTTTAGAGATGTAGAAGGGTTTATAAATAAACTGTATGTGCTTGCGAAATAGGTGCAAAGATTCTCATCACTCTTATCTAGCTCTTTAGCTGTCTGTGTAGTTCCTCTCCTTAAGTAGAAGATTCTTTTATTTGCCATGTCCCCTTAGGAAGTTGGCAATCATGGCTCTCCATAATTTCCTATCCTTTGGAACTCTTAATAAATTTTGTCTTTTTATATTTCTCCTAAAACCTGCTCACCAAGTATGCGTTGTTTTTCTGTCCCTCTTGTTTTCACTCTGTCCTGTGAGTATCAGATTTTTCAAGCCTTCTTTCCTCATTATGTGCCCTAGAAATTTTAACTTCCTCTTTCTGATATTAAGTATAAGTGTTCTTTTTGATTTGATTTTCTTTAAAACTTTGTCATTGCTCACATATTCGATTCATGGTACCTTTAGCATCCTTCTATAGAATATTTCTGTTGCTTCAAGTCTCTACATCTTTGAGATTGTCCAACATTCACTGCCATATAGGATGACTGAAGTTTAGATTGATGATGTCGACTAATTTTCTTTTGATTTTGTTGTCTTCTATGTGCCATGTCTCTTTAGAAAATTAGAGTTCATGGTTCTTCACATTTTCCTGACCTTTGTTACTCTTAATAAATTTTGTCTTTTTGTTATCTTTCTTAAACCTTGTTCCACCATTCATTTACTCAAACTTTCTAAGTAGGTTATGCATTGATTTCCTCTCCTCTGTACCTCTTGCTTTTAATCTGTCCTGTCAGTATCAAATTTTCCAAGCCCTCTATCCTCATTATATGCCTTTGAATTACCAACTGGTTTTTCGTGATGTTAAGTATAAGTGTCCTTTTATTTCTCTAAAAATGTTTGTTGTACTTATAGTATCTTTCTGTAGAACCACATTTCTGTTACTTGGACTTTTCTTCATCTGTGAGGAGATTGTCCAGTACTCACTGTCATATAGGAAAACTGAAGGTTAGATTGATGAAATTAACCATAATTTCAGACTTTATTTTGTGACTCTTTACATTTTCTCATCTGACATGAAGTAAAAAGACTATATCAAATCCATTGGTAGATCAGTTGCTAGGAAAGTGGATTCATTGTCATGAGAAACAATTTTTCTTTCCAGAATCTATCATATATATCTATAAGTCTATGATTCATCCATGCTTAGAATATTGCTGCCACATTTGGTCTGGTTTCTCAGCTATTTACCCTGAGATCCTTGATAAAATCAAGAGAAGAATCAGCAAAATTATCAGTCCTGAACTGGCAGCTCGACCTCACTTTTCCACTGCTGTAAGGTTGCCTCCCTGTGCCTTTTCTATAAATACTTTCATGGTAATTGTTCAGATAAACTCTTCACTGGTATGGTACCTAGAGTTTTTTCTTTTTTAATTTAAGCACAGTACTAGACTCTGGTCAAGATCTCATCAATTTACTGTTGAGTTGGCCAGATATAGCTGTGAATTCCATGCTAACAGTTCCTTTCTTGCACTTCTCATTTGTGGAAGTCACTTCTGGCTCCATGCCTTCCAGCCAACTTAATCTGCAAAAAGTTAAATGCGATTTCAATTGTTATCTACTGTCCTCCTCATTACTCTTTTCTCACTCATTAATAATGTTTCCATTCCTAATTCTTCCACACCCTGTATCTTAGTGGCTTTACTGCATTGCTTAGGGTGAAATTGATTTAAAAAAAAGAAAAAAGAAATGTCTTTATAAGTATGTATTTTTAGACACAATTATGCTACGTTTTTACAAATAATTTTTTAAACAAAAACCAACCAAGAACGTTCTTATATTGATGAGAATTAACAACGAAATAAGTCCCAGTAAAATTTCAGTTATTCCAACTGCATAATTACACAACCTATTTAAGATTTGAAAAGATCAAAGTAAATTATTTAAATCTTGCTGGTTAGCTTATTAAACTGTTTTCAAATAATTCTTTCCGCTATTCTTTGATTGTTATTTTAAATACTTTGATTTAATAATCATTATTTAAATCTTGATGATTAGTTTATACCTTATAATAAACTTACTAATAAGTCTGCAGGACATGTAATGAAAACAACCAGTAACATTATTACCCCATTCATCCACTATATTTGTCAATATTCAGTTTTCTGTGATGCTGTTTTAAGAAGTCACTTTTGCTGTGCAAATCTCTAAAGATGAAATATATATATAAAATTAAGGAAGGTTTATAAAAGGTTACAGTAGAGATAATATCAAAACTTAACCCCCTGTTTACTTAAAAAGGCTACAGTAAAAGACTATTTTTTCTGTATTCACTGCATACACCTTTAGCTACACATGTCATTAACAAATTTAATCTATCAAAGAATACAGTTTTGTAATGACAATAGAAATCATTTGCATTCTTTATAATAACTGAATTTTGTCATTTGGATGCAACAAGCAACATTTGTTTTTTGGATTTTGAATACAAATATTTATTTATGAAAATATGTTTAATATTTTTTCTACTCATTAAGTATACAAGAAGTTAAGCTTTGGTATTTCTCTTACTATAACCTTTCAGAAATGTTTTATTTTATATATCTCATCATTTTTTCTTTGTTCTCTATTTCTATTGGTAAACATTAGAACAGGGGTTTTCAAACTTTTTGACTTGCGGACCGCTTTATATTTCAGGTTTTACCTTAGGGACCCCCTTATCCAAAATTCAAATCCTTTGGTTCTTTCTCTGCATGAATAGAATCCATTATCTTTATCAATTTAAGATACAAATTATATTAGTATATCAAATCTATGAAATAGTTCATTGGATCAATCTATTTCATGATCGGCCTATAAGTTACTTATAAGCGCTTATAAGTTGCATGTCACCCATAAAAAAGTCTTTGCTGTCCACAGACCCCCTATCTTCTCCTTGTGAACCCCTTTGATCTGTGGACCACAGTTTGAAAACCCCTGCATTAGAAACATTAGCATGATTGTTAATAACCACAAAATTTTAATTAATTGACAATTAACATTTAAAAATTTAGTACATAATAAGAAAACAAAATGACTAAATTATGATTTTTTTTTAACACTATTTGAAAATGTTTCTCTCTTAGCTAAGGTGCTTTCATGTTTGTTGATAATTCTTTTAAGTTTTACTATGCATATATTTTTTGGGTGGTGTTTGCTTTATCGGCCTTTTTGTATCCTTAAAGAAGGTTACAAACAGACAAATGTGGTACTTGAGTGAAAGGAACAGCAACACAGATGTAGATGGAAGAAAGAGAGGTTTATTGTAAAAGAGAATACACTACTGAAAGACAGGAAATCAGTTAGCAGGCAAGTAATTCCTGAAGCAAGTCTGCCTGTGCTTATTATATATATCTACTGATATAGTCAGTTCACATAGGCAATAGGGAGTGTGGGACATTCCATTACAACACCTCTCCCTGAGCTAATTTTCCCATGAAATTTTGCTCAATACCTCTTCTTTTTTGGGGTCAGGACATAGTTGTTTGACTTTTTTTATTCCTAGTACTTTTCCTTCTCACCTGCAAAAAACTTGTTAACTTATTTTCTCTGTTCATTATTTGTTTTCTTCTTCCCACCTATGGGTTAAATAGCAAGGCAGACTGAGCTGCCTAGTCTTGGCTGGCAGTCACATGAGAAGAACTGAATTCAAACTGGGGAACTACTCCAATATCTTACCCAAGAATGAATGTCAATTCACAGATAATAAATACATGGAGTTTGTGGAAAGTCATAATTTCCTACATATTGAAGGGATATAGCACAAGAAAAAAATACTAAAATATTGCTATTATATATATATATATATATATATATATATATAATTAATTATTTATTTAACAATATGATTCCTTCGCTACATAAGAGTAGAGCTTATGTAGC